TCAAGTGATAAATGAGGGCTTATGATCACCCATGTGGGATGTCAAAAGAAGAGTCAAGAAGTGTATAGAATTTCTATGGGGGTAGATTTCATCACTATTCCTCTAGGATAGTCAACAAGAATGTTTTATGGCTAGCTCCTAGGCTTCTAAATAAGAGAATTAGACCACATCAAAATAAGGTCAACAATTACAAATTGCATAAATTTAATTTAGGGGAGAAAGAAATTTAAGTCATCCACATAACAAATGAACACAACCAAAAATTTTCATTGCAAATTCAATAGTAAGAGAGTTGGAACAATCACATTAATATTCTTCACTAAAGTTACATGAAGTTACTAGAAATTTTGACACACTTATTTTCTCTCAAAAGAACTCTCACAATCTCTATTGCTTTCTTAAGATTCCCAAAAAAGCCTGTTGTTGATTACAAGTTTTCTCTAACAACTCCTTCTATTAGATATCTTTTTCCCTTGATGTCACTTCAAAGGCCAAATGCTTGGTAGAGAAAATGATTGAAGTGTGAAGCACTTGTTCCTTTTAATTTATGCCTTTTATAGAATTGGATCATAGCCACAAATCAACATGGTTAGAGAGCTATCTTAACTCCTAAGTCAGTTCGTGTGATGCCTAAGTTCTTCCCTGTCGCTTGACTTTTGGTCTCTTGGTGTCTGAAAATGGTGCTCTATTTGGAGGTGGTGCTTAAGCGCCCAAAAACTAGCACTTATGTGTCTAGCCATGCACTTAAGTTGCCTAATAAGTGATGCTTTTGTGCCAGGTCTAGCGCCTAGGTGCGTAATAAGTGAATCCTATGTACTCAGTGTAGCATTATGACTATGTGCCTTATATTTGGTGCAAAAGTGCCATTTTCTTGGTGAGGGGCATCAAAAGAGTTAGTATATGCCAATTTTGGGTGTAGCCACGCCAACAATGGGGTATATAGGCTAGAAAAGTGGTGTTGTTATGCCGACATTCATTTTGTAGTGTCCAAATGCGAATGAGCTTAGTTTTCAAGCCTTGTATCACACAAATAACATAAAAATCACAATTAAAGATAAGTTGCATACAAACAATAAAAATAATGCATGTAAATATATAAGAAAATCATAAATTTTATGCTCATCAAAATTCTCCCAAACTTACACATTATTTGCCACCAAGCAATTTCAAAATCTAAGATTAAAATTCAAAAGAAATTAAGTAAGAGTGTAGATTAAGAATTATAGTGATATTTAAGAACTTAGTAAACACTTTGATCAAAGTGCACTAGTCGCTCTTTTAGGGAGAATTCTCATAACACCATCCTAATATTTTAATATAGCTCACATTAATACCATATATCTACAATTCATCTTAAATTACTTATGTAAAGTTAAAATTTCATGAAATTATTAGTTCAGACATAAAATTTAGTTAGCTATACACTTAAATAATATTATCTGTTATTATCATGTTGAAAAGAAAGATTTCAATATTTCATTAGTGAAACTTTTAATTCTTTGACTTATTGAAAAGGTTCATCTGTAATCATTGTTAATTTGAGCTTAACCTCAATTTTCTCTTCTTAGGTTTCTAAATTTTTTCTTCGTAATTATGACGATTTTTATTTTTCTTTTCATTTTCATTTTTTTGTTTTTTTCTTTTTTAGGATAATTACAATAACTCGTTTTTTTTTTATTATTATCTTGAATATAGACCCTAATCATATGTCAAATTTTCAATTGCTTTCTAAATTTCTAGGAAATTGTATTTTAACTGATAACAACTAAGAATTAAATTCTTTTAGTGATTAGTGACTAAATTTAATAGTGTTGAGGCGTTAATTTTATAATTTTTCATCATTTACTTAAGAATTATAATAATATATAGATTAGAAATATTGAAGTTAGGGATCAAGTACCAGTGAGTTGCTAATTCTATTGTAGAGAAAATATTGAAAAAGAGATGCACTTGTTCCTTCAAAATTCTACCTTTTATAGCCTTTAATCGCCACCAACAAAGAATTTTCATAACTCCTGAGTCGGTTTGCCCGACACCGGAGTTCTTCTCTGTGTTGTCGGAGTTTTGGTCTCTCGATGTCTAGAAATAGCACCCTATTTGAAGGGGGCACCTAGGTGCCCATAAGTTGGTGCATATGCCTCTAGCTAGAAGCTTAAGCACCCAATAGGTGACACCTATGTGCCAGGTGTGTCACCTAGTCTTCCAATATGTGGTGCCTAGGCACACAGTGTAATAGTACACGTTGACAACTAGGTACCATTAGCTTGGTGGGGGCATGCAAAGAGCAAGTATACACCAAATTTAGGTGTAAGTACACCAACAATAGCATATATACGCCAACAAAGTGGTGTAGCTATGCCTTTATTTTAGATTATTCAGATACCAATGAGCTCCTTTTTAGCTTTTAAGCCCTGTATCATTCAAATAACATAAAAATGCGAGGACAAGAAAAGATTAGCTACAAATAATTAAAATAATGCATGGAAATACAGAAAAATAAATCATAAATTTCACTCACATCATTGGGCTATTGTCCAACTAACACATGATATCAAGTTGTTTATCTTTAGGATCAAGATAGAACTGAATAAAGAAGTAAAGATATATCATTCCTAATATTTAAAAGTCAATTTAATATTTTAAGCTTATTAGAGAGAGGGGGAGAGGGAGGGAGAGAGAGAGAGAGGGAGAGAGAGAGAGAGAGAGAGAGAGAGAGAGAGAGTTAAAAGAGGATATCATTTAACAGGAAGGCTCTAAGTTGTGTTAACAACAAATATAAAATTAAAACAATTATTCTAATAATTCTTGTGTGTTAATCTATAATGTAAATTAATATAATTTCTCAAAAAATAGAAATATAATTGATCCAAGAAAAAAAGAATCAATAACTTTATAAAAAGAATCAGGAAAATAATCAAATCATATAGAATTGCATAAAGCTCTATCAAGTAAACACCTAAGAGTATTATTTACTGATTATTTAAGAAACTATTGGAATAAACACATTCTAAAGTTATAGTAAACCGGCCTCAAACATGCACTACTTAAAATCACTACGTATACTAGGTATATAGGGTCACAGCCTACTTTTTCTTCAATCCTTCAAATGCAATTGAAATCACTAAGAAGAATCCATGAACCATGAATATTCTCAAACAAAGAGAAAATTAAAATCTATAAATCTTTCCAAATCTGAGCATTGTTATCATCATATATAACAATAATAAAGAAATGAATAGAAGAAGAATAGGAAATGTGACCATGAATGTACTAATATTTAATATTTAAAGCAAAAAAATCCAAAATAACATAATTCCATTTAATTCATAATTTCTATTTTTTTTAGTACAAAAATTATCAATACTCCTTTCACTTGGAAAAAAAAAATAAATTATTAAGTGTAATAGAATGTGAAATGGTAGAATTAACATGCTAAGTCTCAAAAGGAGATCTAATTCTTTTTTTAATGAATTCCTGCAATTAGCTATTTGGGCTTCACTATTAAGCCCCCTTACATTCTGAACCATAATATTAGAAAAAAATTATTAAGAAAATTATTTATGAGGAAGACCCCCTTTCGACATGCCCTTCTTAAATTTAAAAATAGAAGGTTTAGAGGTAGAAGAAATAACATTCTTAGCATTAACGACTATTTTAGAAGACAAATCATTTAAATAAATTTTGAAAAGGAACTTTATGAATATAACCAGAAATAATAGTAGAGAGTTCTTTCTATTAGCATAAATAACAACTAAAGCATGTAAAATTTCATACTCTTCTCCAAAAAACTCATAATACTATGAGGAATATTAGCAGCATTATTCAAGTCATGAGCAGTTAAAAAATTAAGAGGAATAATAATCTGGTCATAGATAAATAGAGAATTAGTAGAAAGATTAGCAGGAATAACATTATTAACAGACATAGAAGGGAAATAACTAATAGTTTTGTGTATTTTTTGCACTTGATTGTATTTTATTTTACTTCTTTCTCGAAAAAAAAATGAACTATAAGTGGATCATTGGTGGAAGTTTTTGGGCAGGAAGCAACATGGGCCAATGTCAAACAAGATTTACATGGAGTAAATTTTTATTCATAAACAGGTAAACCAATATATTGTCCTTCAACCTCTAAAATAAATATATTAAGAAGGTAAGAATCAATATTAATTTGAACATTTACTCTACCAAAAGTTAATCTCGAACCCTTAGCTATGAGAGAATCAACAACCAATCAGATACCAAATTTAATTGCAATTTTCAAAAGAGGCATAATTGTTCTACCAAAAATATAAAAAAAGAATGGAAAAATAATCTAATATTTAAATTGAATAAATTTGAATTGAACAATATATAGGGCACTTTCAAACCAATATTAAATATTTTATTACTTGTTCAATGAGAAAGTGTTCCTAAATATATTTTAAAGATTCAAATTAAGTTCTAAATTTTTTTAATTATTATATGAGATTTTAAAACTGATTTTAACAAATTTAAATTAATATTAATTATGGGCTGCTGCGAGACAAAATGGAGGAAGTTGATCGAGACACTAAACCCAGAAAAACATTAAATCATGACTCCTAACGTAGAGCTACGTTCGGATTGGAATATCCGACTGTGTTACAGGAATATTTCATTTGCATTATTTGTAAAAATGATGTGTTATTCGAGTATTATATATATTATTTTGCAGTGTTATTGAAATATTTCATCGCATTACTTGATTTGGGGCTGAAGTATTATTAGAATATTCCCCGCATTAGAATATTCCCCGCCCAAATCAATATAGTGAAAACTTTGCATGCTATTTGGTATATTCCGGTTTTCACTATACTTAACTATATATTGTTATTCCAATAATATAGTGAAAATCGGAATATACCGAATAACATTGTCCAAATTAAGTAATGCAGGATAAGTGAATAAAACGTCATTTTTAAATATTCCGATAATACAATGAAGCTGAACCTTTGGAGTAAAATATTTTTCGAGTAAACCCTGCGTTAAGAGCAAAATCCTCTTCCCATTAAAACCCACTCGTCGGAGGAATCAGTGCGCCGCCGCTGTTTGCAGCGTTCCGCGACTGCGGCGTTTGGAGCGTGCAACAATGTCACATCTTCCCGCACTTGTTATTCTAGTTCTTCCGTCACCATTCTAATGATACCATTGAGAAGGTGCAAATTCCCATCTTTTTATCAGTTTCATCTTTCCCACCCCTCAAGAATTCCAAGTCTCACTCTTTCTGCGATGAACGCATGCGCTCGTTCAGCCGCATACCCTTCCCCATCATCTCCCGGCGAAACTGTCTCCGATCTCGCAGCTTACCGCCTCTCTCTTCTCGCAGGTCTTGCCCGCCGCGGTTTGCTCTCTGCCGCTCACAACGTTAGCCAACGCATCATAATTTCTTCGTCCTCGCTGGAAGCTGCTGCCGCCTTGAGCTATGCTATCTCTCTCGGCCTTCCCATTGACCTTGGTCGGCTCCTCCGTTCTCTCATAACCGCCGGCCAGCTTCATAAGGCCGATGTCCTCTTCAATCATAGCAGCAAAGACAAAGTTTCCATGGATTCCGCTGTGCTGAATTCTATGATTGAGTGCTACTGCAAGCTTTGGAAGCTTGACGTGGCCGAAACTTATTTGGACGAACTGGTGAAAATCGGATGTTTGCCGACCGCGAGGGCTTACGTTGCTGTGCTTCGCGCGCGCTGTGGAAAGGGAAAGTACATGGACGCTTTCAATCTCTTTTGTGCGATAGCTGCTCAAGAAGGACTACTTCCACCTTTGTCAGTCTACAATGCCATGATCTTTGGTTTGTGCTCCATTGGTTGCTTGGACCATGCCCGCTTCATGTTTGATTTTATGTTTAACTTGGGCTTACCGCTCTCTCCACGGTCATATAAGGCTTTAGTGTATGGACTTTCCAAGGCAAGTCGAGTTTTGGAGGCCGAGAATTTATGCAACAAAATGGAATCACGTGGATTTTGGTTGGACTGCACATTGTGCACTTCGCTTATAAATGGGTACCAGAAGGAAGGTAGGATGGAATTGGCTTTGAAGATTTTCAACAGAATGCAAGAGATGAGCTGGTGCCAGCCTGATACATATGCATATAATACCATTATCCATGGAGTTTTGAAGCTTGGCCATCTTGATTCAGCATGGAAACTCTTCAACCAGATGGTGGAGAGAGGCTTGAAACGGAATGTAGTCACCTATTGCATGATGATAAACTGGCACAGCAAAAACAGACGCGTGGACCAAGCAATGGAGCTTTTGAAGGAGATGTATGAGTCCGGTTTACCTCCTAATTTGCAGTGTTACACAGTTCTGGTTACTTCACTTTGCATGGAAAGGAGAATGGTTGAGGCGGAGCAGTTGTTTGATAAGATGTTGGACAGTGGTATTGTTCCAGACCATGTGATGTTTTCCGTGCTTATGAAGAATCTACCCCGAGGTCATCGGCCCATGGTGATTAAGAAAACTTTGCATGCTATTGCTGACTGGAAGATTGACTTGTCGAGAGTCTCTAACATTTCTTCCTGCAATGAAGGCTTCAAAGGGGAAATTGAAGTTTTGCTGGACGAGATAATGAAAAGTGATGTATTTCCTGTTCATTTGATTTTTAATGTTTTGCTTTGTGTCTTTTGTACAGAGGGAAACATTGATTTAGCTTGCAATTTTATGGAAACAATGGTTAGTTGGGGTTATGAGCCTTCAATCTCTACTTACAATTTCTTGTTAAGGTGCATGTCCAAAGAGGGTCATTTGGAAGATGCTGGTTCGCGTGTTAGCCTCCTTGTGCACCATCAAGGTGTGCCGTCTAGTTTGACTGCTTACTCCATTAAAATTAATGCACTTTGCAAGAATGGGCAGGTAGATTTGGCACTTGAACAACTTGATGAAATGATACAGAAAGGCTTTGATCCTACTGTTTCTATTTATGATTCAATAATTGGTTCCTTGTGCAGAGCAGGAAGAATAAGGAAGGCTGACATGACCTTCAATAACATGCTTAAAGCTGGGGTTAATCCTGATGAGGTTGTGTATGCCACACTTATCAACGGTCATTGTGTTCTGGGAAGAGCTGTTAGGGCTTGTCATCTATTTGATCAGATGATGCAACGGGGGTTGTTGCCTAGTTCTCGTGCTTATAGTGCACTTATAAATGGTTTGATTAAGAAAAACATGTATAAGAATGCTTGCCATTATCTAGATAGGATGTTAGAGGATGGTTTTGTTCCAGATACTGTTCTTTACACCATGCTTGTTAATCAATTTTTGAGGAAAGGAGAGGTTGGTTTAGCCTTGTATATATTTGATCTGATGGTTAGGAATCAGATTGAACCTGATCTTGTTGCATATGGATCTCTGATATGTGGACTTTGTGGACACAAAAGTGGTGCCAGAAATCTCTCATTAACCAGAAAACTCAAGAAGACAAGACACATTGTTTATAGATTGGAATCTAGAGGAAAACATACATCCCGAATGCTTCAAAGTAAAAGGCTATCTTCCATGTCCATAACAGAAAAGGTCAATTTCGCATTGGAAAAAGTGCAGGATCTTGTATATAGAGGGTTGGTGCCAGATTTGCACATCTATAATGGTATAATTAATGGACTTTGTGGATGTAATAGGATAGAAGATGCTTATAATCATATTGCTGATATGCATAACCATGGCATTGCTGCCAATCAGGTGACCTATACTATTCTTATGAAGGCTTTTATTAGATCTGGTGATATTAATTGTGCAACTTGGTTATTCAATCAGATGAGTTCCAATGGCTGTATTCCTGATAAAATGTCATACAATACATTGATTGTGGGCTTTTGCATAACCGGTAGAGTGATTGAGGGATTATCACTTGTTCATGGGATGCAGAAGAGAGGTCTCCTTCCAAACAAGATTTTATACGACCAATTACTTAAATTCATTGTTCCTTGTTGTCCTAGCAATCTAGCCATCCTACTTCTAGAAGAGATGATCTCACATAATCATGTGCCACATTCTAGTAACTATAATAAATTACTTTGGGTGCTTTCCACAAAGGCTAATTTATTGGAAATTCGCAGGGTTTATAATCTTATTCTTAAATTAGGAAGAATACCAGATGAGACCACAAAGAAGCAACTTTTGAAAATATGCCATAGCAAAGGAGAATTCAACATGGCTTTGAAAATAATGGAGAACATGCCCATTAATAATGACTAAATTTTGATTTTCTGGTGAGTGGTACAAAGCTTCTTAGGTATGCATGAGGTTTCTATGACTCCACGCCATTTCTTAAATAGTTTGTGTTCTTCCATTGAGAGGTACTTATTTAATCACTTGAGCCTCATTTTGAATAATTTACTAAACTTTTGTAACTTGAAATTGATTACTTCTCATTTTTGTGACGTGCTTAATGAAGGTGTCATCTCTTTCCAAAGATGCTTGTGTTCTGAAGAACGGCTTGGGAGGTAAAGTTTGATAGAATGCTATTAGAAGGACAAATGCTAATTTTTATTACTTCCTGGGTGTTATGATCTCTCCTTTAATTCAAAGGATTAGATCAAATTGGTGCCTTTAAATTTAAGCATTTAAAATGCTAGTGTAAAAAATATTTGAATCAATTCTTTATCTAGTTTGCGTAAATTTGCTTTAAATAAATAAAAAGTAGAACTAGAGTATTATTTTTTCGTTCTATTAAGGTTGGCCCATTCATTTCAACGAATGTTGGACAATGCGCTACAAAAACATTAATCAAAAGTTAAATTACCTTTTAGCTACATTCATTCCCACTGACTTTTGACTACCTTCAGTATTAGTTATTCAAATATTTTAATGAAGAGTGTTAGATGTGCATGGAGATTTTAGTTCATCCTTTTATAGGATTGTAGTATCTTTGTCACACACACAAGAATTGAACTTTCCGCCTTTTGTTGATCCATACAAACTCTAGATTGTTTGAACCAAAAACTCATACCAAGTTTGGATCATTTTTCAAACCTGCTCGAATTCATTTCTAGTTAGTCTTGACCTGGCTATTTTGTGAAATAAGTTCACAAAAAATCAATCCTGATTTCAGCTGATTAATTATCTCATTTTGCTCGATTTTATCTAAAATTAGATTTTATATTCAAGCCTTTTTAGAGCTGAATCACCAGCATTTCATTGTTGAATCCCAGTTGTTTGGAATGCCCCTGTGAATGCTCTTTCTCTATTCTTTCAGGGCGAGCTGTACATGAGTTGTTAAATATAATTTGTTCAAATAAAAAATTTATAACTTCTAACCATATTACCATTGATCTTTTTTTTTTCTCAATAAACCTTCCTCATTCCTTCTATTCTCTCATCTTATTACGGCATTTTATACCCTTCATATTACATACTTTCACCATGTTATTGTATCATTTCTCACTTTATTTTTCCTAATTTAACACATCTTATTCATTTCCACCATATTCATCATGGAAATGGAAATGCACAAAATGTTACTAAATATCCTTTGAATAACCATATAAGAAGAGAAATTGATTACACTCAGGGCCTCTTTTCATGGTGCAAGCATTAATTCTTTCTAGTTGTTTGCTATCTGCAAAATTGTAGTTATATATTCAATTTTAGAAGACTATTATTTTGACTTGCAGCCATAATTTATTGAGTTCATGCTGTTAGTTTTTTAATAATTTTTAACTTCTTTGCCTTCTGTTTTCTTTATTGCTTTTGAAGATATGTGTATTTTCTTGACCCACATGAAATTGTAGCATGCTTCAAACTTTGTTTTGTATGGATCAAAATTTACTCTTGACATTCAGGCTACCAGGAACTCAACTAGGGTAAATCATTGAGAGCTTTGAAATGATTGTTATTTATGGCCATACCTTTGGCTTATATAAAAAAGTCTATAAGTTTTGAACTAATCAATTGCATTTATACAACAACAACAACAACAATCCGTTATCCCACTAAGTGGTGTCGGCTACATGAATCCTTTCTCTCCATTGTGTCCTATTGAGTGTCATATTTTCATTTATTTTTAATAAATTAAGATAATTTTTTATGCAATACGCCCTAGTCTTTTTAGGTCTATCTCGACCTTTCTTAACATAAGTCGACTCTAAAACATCTACTCTTCTAACTGGATCATTAGATGGTTGATGTTTAATGTGACCAAACCATCTAATACGACTCTCTCTAATCTTGTCCGCCACTAGAGCTACACCAACCTATTCACAGATACATTCATTTTGCATTTTGTCTCTAAGTTTCAAGCAACTTATCCACCTAAGTATTCTGATCTCATCAACACTTAATTTTATGCTTCTCTTTTAAAGGCCAACATTTTGCACCATAATGCCCTACAAGTCTCACCATCATCTTATAAAATTTTCTTTTTAGTTTAAGCGGTACTTTTCTATCACACAATAGGCCCAATGTATTCCTTCACTTCAACTGACCAACTTGAATTCTACTAATAACATCCCCATCTTTATCACCGTCACATTGAACGATAGACCTGAGATATCTAAAACGTTCACACCTTTTAATTATTTGATCACCCTTAGTTACAATTTTGTCACTAGATCTACTACTGCTAAAATTATATTCCATGTATTCAGTTTTAGATCTACTCAAATGAAGGCCTTTAGACTCTAATGCAGACCTCCGTAATTCAAGTTTTTCTTGAACTCTTTCTATAGTCTTATCCAAGAGAAGTATATCATCATCGGAAAGCATACACGACGTTACATCCTCCTATAAATGCTCAGTAAGAGCATAAATAAAGCAAAAAAAAAGGGCTTAAAGTAGATCCCTGATGTAATTCAACTGAAATAGAAAAATACTTTGTTGATCATCTTTCTGTTCGAACACAAGTAACAACTCTAGTATGCATAGCTTTAATGACTTGAATATAAGTCAGCAATACCTTTCTTTTCTAGAACTCTCCAATGAACTTCTCTTGAGACCTTATCATAAGCTTTTTTCTAAATTAATAAAAATCCATATGCAGATCCTCCTTACTCTCTCTGTATTTCTCCATCAAACTTCTCAATAGCTGCTGAACTCAAGCGACTCTGCCGGGTAGCTCTATGTGCCTAGCTGGTGCTCTCTTGTGTAGTTTAGCTTGGTTGGGGATCTTACTAGCGGTATTCTATAAGAGAGAACGACGAGCGAGTTGTCTGGACCAAGGGAGTAAATAGTTGACCATATAAGTCAAAAAGAATTTCTTGCAGTCATATTACTCTATCTGAAAAGAATTCATTAATGAGAAGACTAGTTTCTCAAAGAAAAAAGTACCCTAGCCTATTCTCTCTTCTTAAGATGAACTTCATTTCTCATTCAATTTGTTTTCCATTAATGAATTTGAGATTGAAGAGTACTACTATTCTTTCTATCTAGAATCTATTAGTCTGAGATTTCTATATCTACCATTCTTTGGAGTAGATCTTTTTGTTCTGTTGAATGTTGACTCGTGGAGCTATCAGCTGATATCTCTAAAGATTGAACGGAGGATGGTCTTCTATTTAGAAGAAAGAGGATGGATTGGTCTGAATGTTATGGTTGCTTGCCTACAGATGCGACTTTCAAATCTGGTTTCTTTCCCCTTTCAAAGAAAGAAAATGGGAATTGTTGACAGAGTGTACAAGCTTGACTTAAGCGAAGATTCCAATCAGTCTTATTTTAGATAAGGTTATGCCCTTAGTTGGAGAAGTTTTGACAGTTTCTCAGTTCTAATAGCTCACCACATTTTAGCTTGACAGAAGAAGCTAATCATTTTCAATGTCAGTTGTAATGCATTAAGGGCATATTACACCCTCAGGAAACAGACAGACACCGACAACAAGAAAGAAAGCTACCATCACACCTAAACCAACTGCATTAAACACTGGGCCAGTAGCAGGTATTGAGATTTTGGAAAAAGGTACCTCCGTCCCCATGACCGACTCCACCAATGCAGAAACGTCGTGACTTTCAAGTAAAATGTATAACTTTCATTGTAGACTTGCTCGACATAATTCATTCTGATTATGAGAAATCTTTGTGTCACGTCTTAAATTATGTTCAATTACTCTCTCCATAATTTTAATGTATGACACATTAACTTAATTTCTCTATAATTTGCACACTATTGTGCATACCCTTTATTTTTAAAAATGGGGGCCAAATTACTCTTCATCCATTCCTAAGGAATCGTTTTAGTTTTTAAAATAATATTAAAAGGTTTAGTGAACCAATAAACTCTCAAATCTCTTAAATATTTTCACACTTCAATTGAAATATCATCATGTCCTTATCTTTCACCATTCGTTTTCTTTAGTCTCATCAACTTCTTTTTTACTCATGCGAGGTAAAAATAAAAAGTTTTATTATTATTAATGATATTAAGATCACGAAGGTTTCACGAATATATAGTCGCTCCTCACTCCTCCCTCTCGGCCCAAAATCCTTACGTGAACCCCTTCTTCGGTCCGTCGCCGGCTGACCTCGTCGGCGACTAAGGAGTTGAGATAGGATCGTGGCATTGGCTCGACCGCTCGGATTTCTGGTTTGACCACTCAATTTTTTTGTGTGGTTTCTCGATTATCTTGCTTGTTTGCTTGATTTCTTGCTTGGTTGCTCGGTATTTTTTATTAATTGCTTGTTTTCTTGCTTGGTTTCTCAATTTCTTTGCTTTGTTATCCTGTTTTCCTTGATTGGAATTTATATATATATATATGTATGTATATATATATATATATATGTATATATATATATATATATAATATATATACATACATATATATATATATATTTGTTTTTTTATTGTTTCAGCAATGTTTTTGTAAGGTAAGGTATTATTTCTTCAGGGGAGAATGAGGGGTTACTTGAAGCGCTGTTCTATGGGTTTTTCCTTCCCATTTTCCTTCGGTGATCTTCGATTTTCTTTGTCTCCTTCGTATGGCTTTCACTTATCGTGAAACCGCTCTGTCTTTTCGAGACATTGTCGCCGGGCATCCTCAAGATTAAGGAAATGTTGTTTTTCCATCCTCTTCTAAAGATCAACTTGTAGATAGCTCATCATCGAGTTTACTCAAAAATTATGCTTGGAAAAATGGTAAGCTGATCGTTATTCTTTTAGAAGAGGATACCAATGTACTGGTTGAACCTCTGAAATTCATATTGGTAGTCGCTCACCCTAAAATGGAGGTTTTTAAGAAATTTTTTTCTGAACTTAAAATTGCTGGTACATAGAGCCTAGGTCTTCTTGATGGTACGCATCTTATGATTAAACTTGAAAGAGAGGAAGATTACACTTCTGTTTTTTCATAAAAGGTTTTACTTATTGAAAAGTATTATATGAAGATCTTAAAATGGACCCCTGAATTTAACCCTAGGGAGGAATCTCCTAATATTCCTGTCTGGATTAAATTCTCTGGTTTAAAACTTCATCTGTATAACATGAAATTTTTTTATTCTCTGGCGTCTATTTTTGGCT